AAAGATTGTTCTGCTACATAGATACATTTTTTTTAACCCGCCACTTGAAAGCCCTAAAGCAAATCGCATTTTCAACCTGTTGTATTTGTAGTTTTTGGTTTTGCAATTTATGAGAACTTCATCGCGTTTGCTCGAGTTTCAATTTTAATTCTCTTCAAGTGTTACGAAGATTTTTATTATAGCTCCTTCGAGAAACATATCTCAAATTTTCTTTATAGTTTAGGGGAACAGTTTTCACCTGATATATGTGAGACTTCACCAAGAATATAAGGTCTGAAAAATTTGGGTCTGAAGGCCAGAATGGAAAGCTGAAGAAAGCTGCTCAAAGGTAATCGTGTATGGATAGTGGAATCAGCAGAGGCAGTAGCTGCATCACGCACATCACCTTTCGAAGTCTAAAAACCGAAACTAAATAATCACGGTCTATCACAAAACGGTTGTTGACTATTCTGATTCCAGGCTCCAAAATGAGAGCCGACTTTAATCACTAAACCTAAAGAGGACAAAGAAGAAGGCAAATCATACAACTGGTTAAACTGATTAATATTTCTTATGGGAGAACCATCTTTAGAAACCAGATCATTTCCATACCAAACTTTGAAAAAGAGGATAAAAATGAACAACCTACCCCGTTATGAGATTCCAAAGAGTAACTTGAGAATATTCTTCAGCTGTCATCCGAAATGGTGAAAATTCAGTTATGAACCCCTTCATTTTTAAAACAACGTTAACAGGTTCGCACTTAAAATCACAAAACGTAGTTCTCTTGTTATCGAAAACAAAATCATAAATTTTAATGTAGCCAAGAAAGGCATATTGTGAGATTCCTAATTAATCAAACGGCCTTCCGAGAGATGGAAGAAAGGGTATTGAGAAATTTTGCTAAGACACTAGAAGGTGGCAACCTCCGTGGTGTGGTATTAAGCACATTTGAGGACAATTTTGAAAGGTCAAACCACGCACTTTTGAAATCTCAAACGCAAATAAACTCAAGATGACACCTTGTAGAAAGAGACAGTCCTATTGGGCTAATTTTTTTTTTACGACTGACAGATAAAATTTCTTAACTTTGACGCCCAACAGTTAATTTTTTGGCCGTATTACCGCTACCTTTAAGGTAAATTCAAGCAACTTCAGCAGCCATAGTAACGGTCTTAGACATAAAGGAATATAAATGAAATCCAAAAGGGAAATGGTAAGCGTAGCAGGTGAAAATCTGACGAGGGAAAGTCGTTCAATTCGTTTGAACTTGAAAAGTATCGGCCCGCCCTTTTTCATGAGTATTCAGAGCGCTCAAAAATAATCTTTTTTGGATTGTGGTGCAAGTTTGCCAATATTGTTTTTGTTAATTTAGCTGACAAAGAATGAAACCACCATATTCATGTTCCACCTTATTTTTTCGTTCATACGCTGACTGACCCTGAAAACGTTTTGCTTTGCTATCACCATATCATGTTAGCAGAGAACTTTACAGCGGATGAAACTGATTCAGAGAGAGTAAAACCAAGAGAGAATGATGAAGTTTGTCACTTCTTGAGGTCTGTCCAGGCATTGTGGGTAAAATGCGATGTGTATTGTATTATACTGTAATGTGAGAGTATGAATGGGTTAACTGATAGCCATAAACTGAAACAGCTAAAAAAATAGCCGTTAGGTGTAAGAATTACGAATTTTAAGCGTTAATAAAAAAAGTGAACAGTAGTGTATTTTTTGCTAACTGCATTGAAAGAAAATTAAACGTCAACCATAAAAGCTATCAACCCTTCCCTTCCCCCCTAAGATTCTCCAATGTGGCTTGTACAGCCAATCTTTGAACAATAAAATGCAATACTGATCAGATGCTTCTAGATTCTCCCCAGTTACGATCACTGACACCGGGAATGATTTCCAAATAAGAATTCAGAGGCGTCAACATTATATTTGTTGAGAAATTTCCAACATCAAATAAAGAACATATTGAATATAAAATATCACCTACTTTCCCGTTTTGGTGGGAAAAACGGGCTTGTCCTTAGAATAGCTTATGCTGAATCTTTGAATATGCCTGATGGAATATGCCTGTGGTTCCACTCCTCGTAGGCGTTTCAGATCTTTTCAAAATTAATTGTGGTTTTTCCTTATTTACCTTTTTTCCTAATAGTCACGTTTGGTCTCTAAGTCCTCATGAGCATTTCCTGTTTGTTGAGTATCGCCTTTCACAGATCTTAGAAACGTCAAAGGAAAATCAAGTCCGACCCAAAACACTACAAAAGTGAAGGCAACATCTCAAGTATTGAGTTAGCTCCCTCACTTAATGGTTCAAAGTGGCCAGAGTTCTTATGTAGCAACCATACTGGTCAGGAGCACACTATGGAAGCCGTGGTGGTGCAAAATTCAACCGATCAAATTGCTGCCAACATCAACATTTATGACTTTGCTAATTTTGACCAAAACTGTTTGAAGGACTACGCTCATCGTACCATCAGACCTCTCAAACCAATAGTTTTTGCACAACTCATTCAAAATTAGAATGCAAATGATATGTTTCTCCACAGAAGGTTCGAAGAACACGAACGTAATTTCATAACTTCAGCTAGAAGGAATTACAATAAAATTATGATTAACTAACTCCTCTTTGCAAAGAAAGTTGACTGCGAAAATGTGAAAGTCTTTGATAGGGATTAGTCATGCAGTACTTTAGTCTTAGTAAATACATACTGAATAATCGCATTTACCAAGTGGAGTAGAGATGTTTTGATTCCTTTTTCATCATCTTTAGGTGGTCATTGATAGAGACGATGTTAATAAAGTTCATCATTCGATGTTCAAAATAATGGAAGACATTTTTACGGGGACGATAAAGCGTTTCATGGGGTCAGAAGAATCAGTAGTTACCGTAGCCACATCAGGCAATGGAGGCAAAGCTAATTTATCCAACACGAAGGGAATTGGAGAGCAAACTCAAAGTACCATTTCAGGTCTGGCATATCGTGCTAAGAAAACTGCAAAGTCTTATTCAATAATACTATAACGCAGTGTAGAAAATCACTCCTTTCAGTTGCAAAATACTTTTACTGCAGCCCTGCAATCCAGGCTCCTAAGACGACGAAGCCAATTACCAGTTAAGGTTTTTTGTTAATATGGTGATTCAAATCCTGTAACCTCCTTTCCGCTTCTAGTTACGTTTTAGTGCCAAGTTTTTTGTTTTGACAGGTCAGGTTTTTTGTCTCACAAAATTTGCCTCGTGAACCTTGACCATGTGTACTCGATCCAGGTCTCCTGATTCGCTCTCATACCTATAAACGGGGTTTATTACATCTTTAGACACATCCCAGTAGGGAAGAGGAAAATGTAGCATCAGCAAGTTGTCGAGGACATACATTTTTAAATTGTGGGGATAGAATTGAGACGCTAAGGTGACAAGTTCGTGTTTGTAAAGGAGTTCTTTCCTTGAATCTTCAGAAACTAAAAAGAATGAAGAGCCTTAGGAGACTGATGACACGAAATCGGACATTGAAGTGGAAACCGCTGGGGTAAGTATTCTTTCTTTGTCAGTTCGGTTTCTTCGTTGAAGATCAAAGGAAAATGTTATCGTTAAACCAACCGGGTAGAATTTTAAAATGCCAAACAGCCAATAAGAACTCAACGTAGATAAAACTAATGATTGCGAAGGCGAAAAGGCTGGGAAGTGGGGCGAGTTTTATATTGCAATTACAGAGCACAATATGCAATACCAAGATTATTTTTGAATGCTATCGACACTTCATAGGACTATTCCAATCTGAATAATAGAGCAGATTTTTCACTTAATAAGTATTAATTTTTTTCAGTCAGGTGAAGGACGTACGCATACCTCTGGTGAAAGCATTTTTTCCCAAAGTGGAAGTATCAAGAGTCTGTCAAGTGAATCAAGTGCTGAGCTACCTTCGTCAGAATCCTCCCTGACAGGAATAAGTTTTTCTTCTTCCAGTGATGCTGTAGGTGTATGTGACGATCCAAATACAAATGCATCAAGGAAGCTCAAAGAGCTCTATTAACACTTCCGTTTCGGTTAACAGTAACTTAGTAAGTGCGTCGTTAAGTCAGGAGGCCGACCGAGAAAGTAATTGGGAGCGCAAACGGGAGACTGATGGTCTCACAACACATGGTAAAGCTGATGGTCTCACAACACATGGAAACGTTGATAGGTCAGATAAAGATCAAATTGTTAGAATCGAAAGCATTGAGCTTTCCTTGAACACAGACAAGACGACGCAAACGAGGACATAGTCGCAAGGTCAGAGGAAGTGCTATGCGACAAATTTCCAACTTTCCACTCGTCTAAAAATACAACTGAGCCCAAAGAACTCACCGGGCAGACTATAAGTCTCATAGCTTTTGATAGCAGTTATCAGGGTCAGATCTGAGGATTTGAGGAAACTCTTCAAAATAAGACAGCTGTTGAGCATATGTTGCAGCAAGAGTTGGAGACTTTAGAAAACGAGCTGAACGTTGTTAAGGAGACGGCAATAGGTGAACCATTAGAAACGTCAAACTCGTCTGAAGAAGCAAGTCTACTATGTACCTTTAAGACTGAGTCTACTGACACAGCAAATGGACCCCTTTACCTGAGGGAACAGCATGAGAACTCTGACGAAAAAGTCTATCAAATGAAGATCCAAGAGCTACAAGAAACTCCTCAAAGGAAAATAGTTTATGGGGAGGTGTTAGAGGAAGAAATGAAGTGTTTAAAGAACGATCTGAATTAGTGTTAAGAGCAACTCTGAATACTGATTCAATCAGTGCGCTAAGAAAAAGGAAAAAATCCAGGAATTACTTATCATTACTCAAGACGTGACCTCCCTCAACTTTGAATTGCGCCGGGAAGTTACCAGAAAAGTAAAGTTATAAACGAAAGAGACGAGGAAATAAAAAGACTTATCAAAAGTACGACTGAAGCAGAGATACTACTGCGAGAGGTAAAGGAGAAACTTTTAGAAGCTCACAAGGAGACAAAACTTTTGAAACTAGAGTTGGCACAAATGAAGAAAGATAAAAGGTCGATCGCTTTCCAAACTGATGGTAAGGTTCTCACAAAGTCTGACATTCCAAATGACAACCTAAGAACAACTTACAAAGAAAAAACACGCTTTCTCGTTTCTAATCCCGGCGAACAAGTCTTACCATCGAAAGTTGGATTGTCAACGCTTCACCAAGGGTTCATGAGCTTAGCCAGCAAGGATAAGAGGCAACAAAGCACGGTTGATAGAGAAGAGATAGCAACTAGTGGCAGGAAAGCAAAAAGTACATTTTCCGCAAAAGATGGAAAGAAGGGAACCCAATCACTATGGTTACCTACGAGAGCCTTTCTGGAATCAAACTGTCCAATGACGCATACGAAGACGAACATCAGATTTATTCGTCTAACCTAGATTCACTTGCACTGGAAAAGTGCATTTGTCAAGAATTTAATGTCGCAAATCAGTGGTATAAAAACAATGGCATGATTGCTAACGAGAAAAAGCACCAAGCTCTAATCCTGGGAAAAAACTGAGCACAATTTTTGTTTCCCAGTAAATAATTCGATAGATATATTTGGAATGACAATAGATAATAGGCTTTCTTCTAATAATCACGTATCAGTTATCTGTAAGAAAATAAATAAACAATTTAACGTAATGCTTAGATTTCGGAAACTTATTAATAAGGAGACGCTATTGAAGCTTTATAAAGCCTTTATTTTGCCGCATTCTTACTACTGTTCTTCTGTTTGGCATTTCTGTGGTGCGCGCAATGCCGACAAAGTAGATAATCTAAATAAGCGCATTCTTAGGTTTATACTACAGGACTACATTTTACTATGCAAAGTTAACTTAAAATCTCTATTCATTAGACGCCTCCAGAACTTCACGATCACGTTATATAAGACTCTGTTCTTTACGAATTATCCAGGTTATTTAAGAGGCTGTCTCTCTTATTTCCACCCGGTCAATTTTGCGTCAAAAATAATTTTTCCTGAAACTCTGTCAACAGAAAGACTTTACCTAGGAAAGAACTAAATTAGATTTGGTTTGATTCGAAATAATTTTCTGACTGCATTAGGGGCCATAATTATTTTCCAGTCCGCAGGGACCGTCGCAACGTCTCGAAAATTGAAAAATAGGCATATTTTGTAACATTGCAAAATATTTGATTCGCATAGTTAATCCACAGAATTTATATCAGATTGCTTAAATACCTTTCTAGTTTGCCAAGAAAGTTAGAATTTGCCCTCTCAATATCTTTGAAAAGGCGAATTTTAGCATATTCTGACCATTAGAAATCGCCATCGGCCGATGGCCGTAAATAACCTTGATTTAGACGTTAAGTTTTGGGATTTGGGACCTGGTTGACGATTCTATCCTGCACAGCCGTTAAGTTTAGACCTTTATAGGTAAAATATGCAAAAACCCTGTACGTTTTCGATTTTTCAAAAGTTATGACCGTTTGAATCAGCACATGTACGAGCATTCGCGATTTTTTCGCCTACACCAAAATCGAACCACTGGAGCAGATTTCGTCATAAATACAGCTTACCCACTTTTTTGCAGCCCGGCTTCATGGCTCACTTCAGAATTTTTCTAATAACCAAATTAGTGAAATCCATGATAACTTCAACAAATAGCTAGGTATTGCCTTCGAAAAGTAGGCGGCATCCATCGTGATTCGTGGTATCAAAACAAATGTCGGAATTGGCCACATTTCGCGGTGAATCACCCATTTAACATCGCTGCAGAGCTGAATTTTTTCCAAAATCAGAACATAAACTCTCCATGTCTGGAAGCTGAGGGAGAAATGAAGGTTTTAGGCTTCTGAAGTGAAGAAATAATCGCTTAAATTTAGGTCCAGTTCGATGTTATACTGTTCTCACAAAGGTCTGCACAAAAGAGAAGACTGCTGATAGCTTGTGCCGTACGTTGTGCCGTATGGGGAGAAAAATTTTGGACGAAAAGAATAAATGCTTTTACCTGGAGTTTGATCAATAAATCGATTTTAAATATCCTGAGCTTGCTTCTCTCGGTTCCGCGTCGATTGTGTCCACAGAATAGCAACCTGTCAATAGCCGGAGAAATCGGCTACCAACGTGTTAAAAACTTGACACATGCTTCGTATGAACAGATGTTATAAGTGTTGCTTTTGGTAAATTTTCAATCGATTTCATCAAAACATTTCACTGACTACTAGATATTATAATATAATACACTATAACAACGCCGTCAGAACTTGATATCGGAAGTAAAGGTAGTTTGTATCTCTAGAGCATATTCTACACTTTCAGCCACCGTATAAGACATTGTTTACAGAAGTCTACTGAGAAACACATTGAAAATCACTAATCACGTCCGACAGTTTGTCTCTCAATTTTACAGGGATCTCAAAATGACTACAGATGGCTCTCAACAAAACCACATTGAATTTCTGAAGTGTGTTACTGTGGTAACGTTCACAGAGGTGCTAAGTATCGTAGCAGATTGGATGTGAGACTTTGATCTCTTTGTTAACTTTGTCTACCAGATCTTGTCTCTTGGAATTTTCCTGGACGCATTGGATATCTTCCTCCTCATCCAGCGATATCCCGATCACACCCTGATCTTTTCGCCGCATTCCTGCTAGCCGGGAGAAAAAGCTCTGAACTTGGCTCACTGTCAGCCACTGTTCTCTAGTGAACAAACGTGCATTTGATTCATTTTTCGCATTTCGCATGTCCACTGCAACTTGTAAACCGTGCCGTTAGATATTCTTTTACCTTCTCTGCAAATCTAACGCTGCCCCTTGGTTTGCTTACGGCCCATCCTGTTCGTAGAGACGAGTGGGGCGAATTATCCACGGGAGAAGTGAGTGGTGTACTGGAATCTAACGAACAGCTCGAACACTCGATACCAGCGGTACCTATCGACGAGAACTTAAGGGCCCAGTCCCTTTTGATTGCATCATACTGGCCTAACCTGCTGACTGTATGCTTTCCAACGTCCAGGTGCAGCTGCGAAAAGGTTTCGAACACTTCAACACATCCAAACACAGAGCATTCAAACAATTGCTGTTTCCTTGCTGCCCTTTGAATGACGCTTGACCACACGCTTTTCAGGAGGATCATAAAACCCTTGAGATTCTATGGTTTGAAGGGACTCGTTGTTGCGAACTAACCTCGAAAACTAAAGCCATGTTTCGCGCTTAATGTCCCGTTGAAACTTTGGATTGCTGCTGCATTCTCTTCAAGAATCAGTCATAGAACTCCACTTGTAAGTCTACATATGTGTCGAAGTTTGGCGTTTTGGAATTTAAAGCTGAACGAGCGCACTATCGCGCATAACGGATTCCACAACTTCGAATATGGAGATATCGGTCTGAGAGTTTGGAAATGTTATGGCATCGGTAAAGGGAAGTACATTCGATATGACGTAATTTATATCAAGCGCCAAGGTCAAACATACAGTACAAAGATAGATAAAATACAAAAAAGCGACATTAAAACGCCTTTGCGGCGTATAATGCGAAAAAAAGCCTCACAAAGAAACACACCTCTGAGCTTTGAAAAAGCGCGGATCGAAAATACCAACACATGATTGGTTACTCTCTTTCCAGAGAGAACCAATGAAAACGGAACACCGTTGATCCTAACCGCAGGTAAACCAAGTATAAAAGGATGGTTTTCCACCCTTTTTGGCGGGATTGGAATTGAGAATTTCTCTGCCTGTCCCTGATTAACACAGCCTGACTTAACAAAGCAGCTGAAGAGATTCTTTAAGAATCGAAACCGCCGGTCCTGCTTGACGATATACTTCACTTTCAGTTTTACCTGAAAAAGATGTCAGCTCTTGAAACACCATTGCGGCCACCAAAAACGCCAGACTACCGTCCAAATCTGGACGAGGAGATGGAATTAACGTATACTGATCCGAACCTAGAATCGGATCCAGAGGATAGCCCTCCAGCATCACAACTCGAGCCAAGGCATAAAGCTGAATTAGCCAAACAATGCAGCAACAAAGGTCTACGCCTTCAAAAAGAAAGCCGTCAAAAAGAAAACCTTCCGAGGAATAGCCGATCCACGCGGCAGCCAAGGAAGAGGAAACATGAAGACACCATCAGCGCTATCCAGTTCAAGAAGCAAAAAACTGAAACCTCCATTTTAAAACTGGAGAGACACTTACAACAAAAGACTTGCCCTAAGTCGCTTCAATACAAGGCGAAGGCAAACGTCACGCCTGACGAAACCTTTCGACAGGAAATAAGCGCTATTAAAAGTCACGCCGAAGAACAATACATTAGCGCCCTAGTGCGCTTCCATCAGCGTAGACTTGTTAGTCACAAGAACAAACTTGAAAAGGCTAATATTGCCAAGTCTCGATCACAATACAATGTAAATACACGTGAAAGATCACGTTCGCCTTTGAGGAACACTGTAAATACTGATGTCGACAGGATAGACAAAATAGAAAATCAGCTTTCAGAGCTTAAAGATCTTATACGAAGCTATCCTCGACGTCAAAACTCACTACAAACCGACCGAGACCTTTCAATAAACACACTATTCATCTTGCCACCCGCCAGGTGTTAAGAAAGGCTTTATTAAAGGAGAAGCTATCAGACTTCTAAGAACAAACTCCTCGGAAAGAAATTTCCAGGAGGCCATGTGTAACTTCAAAACACGACTTGAAGCACGTGGTTACCCAAAAAGCCTAATTGAAAAAACGTTATCTGAGGTCTCGTTTGCCGCAAGGCAGTCGACACTTAAAAAACAAACCAAAAAAACTAAATGCAAAATATTGCCTTTTGTGACAGCATACCACCCAGGGGTTAAAAATTTAAAACAAATACTGATGCAAGAATGGAACCTCATCCAAAATCAGCCACTGCTGAAAACAATTTACAAAACGCCTCCGATTATATCATACAAAAGAGGTAAATCGCTCAAAAACATACTCGTCAGAGCGAAGCTTTAATTAAAGGCTTTTGCGTCGCAAACGTAAAACCACACAGGGGAGTCTGTGTAGGCCTGTCTATGACCTTTTCAATGACAGTATAACATTTTCTCCCCAAATATTACATTGGCATACAAAACAAAACCATACGGCACAACGTACGGCACAAGCTATCAGCGGTCTTCTCTTTTGAGCGGACCTTTGTGAGAACAGTATAACATCGAACTGGACCTAAATTTAAGCGATTATTTCTTCACTTCAGAAGCCTAAAACCTTCATTTCTCCCTCAGCTTCCAGACATGGAGAGTTTATGTTCTGATTTTGGAAAAAATTCAGCTCTGCAGCGATGTTAAATGGGTGATTCACCGCGAAATGTGGCCAATTCCGACATTTGTTTTGATACCACGAATCACGATGGATGCCGCCTACTTTTCGAAGGCAATACCTAGCTATTTGTTGAAGTTATCATGGATTTCACTAATTTGGTTATTAGAAAAATTCTGAAGTGAGCCATGAAGCCGGGCTGCAAAGTGGGTAAGCTGTATTTATGACGAAATCTGCTCCAGTGGTTCGATTTTGGTGTAGGCGAAAA